AGCTAGTAAGTGGCAGGACCAAGTTCTGAACTGAGCAGACTGACTCTGGAACCTGCATTCTTACTCACCTCAAATCACCCTGTGCTGGGAGCAAAACATGGGTGAGCTCCTTGGATCCCCATCCCAGGACCCTGGGAAGAAGCAAACTGTTCCTTTACCACATACTTTCTGATCACTTGATTTAGATCAGGGCCTGGGCTGGACCCTGGTCCTGGTCCCATTCCCAACTAAGGTGGTCCCCAGGCCCAGTCTTTGTAGAGCTTAAAAATCTACTTCCATTTCCCGCTAGCTTCAGGAGAGGTTTGCAGAGCCACAGGGACTGACCCAAGCTCACAGGGCAAGGGGCCATGCCATGGCTGGAAGCTAGGCTCACACCCGAGGCCCATGAGGGCTCCTACATACGGTTGTGCCCCATGGGCTTAATCACATCTGATTATTTCTTACTAAGTCATAATTCACATGCCATAAAATTCATCATTTCGAAGTGTACCAGTCAAGGGCTTTTAATATATTCACAAGGTTTTGCAACCATCCCCACTAATTCCAGAACATTTCATCACCATGTCTATTAGCAGTCACTCCCCATTTGCTTCCCCTCAGGCCCTGGAGGCTTCTAATCCATTTTGTGTCCCTATGGGTTTGCTTCTTCTGGATATTTCATACCAATGGAGTCATATGTATGGTCATAACATATGGCCTTTGGTGTCTGGCCTGTTCCACTCAGTGTAACGTTTTCAGGGTTCAACCACATTGTCGCATTAATCAGTACTTCATTCCCTCTTATGTCTAAAATAATATCCCACTGTATGGATGTACCACAACTTGTCCTTAGGGTGACACACAGCCAGCAGCATGCCGGGAAAGCATTTGCCAGTCAGTTTGTCCTTCTGTATCAGAGTCCCAGAGTGTCCTCACCCTTCTTTGGTGCTGGGCACTCCACGAGCCTTTGTGTGCAGTCATTCCTTTGAGCCGGGCCCCACTGACCGTTACGTTACTGCTGCTCATGTTCTGTGGTCAACGCTGCTGTGAAAGACCTTAGGTAAATGTCATCTCATGAACGTGATGTCGCCCTTTGCTCTGAGTCGGCCACCAAGCCAAGGGCTTTATGACACCCCCATCTTACTCCATCCTCAACAGGGCTGTGAGGTGAACGTGAATCATTACAAGAGAGGAAACAGGCTCAGGGAAGGGCTATCCCCTGCACCTGATGGAGGGGAAATGGGGGTACCCTCTGATCCCAGAGTACTTGCCCTTAAGCACCCCAACTCCCAAGGAGAGGAATCCTGAGTCCCCGGGGCCTGACTTTTAACTACCTGGAGCCGTAAGCTGAACAGAGCGTCTCCCTTTAGTTACAGCCGCTGTCTGGAGCTGATGCTGACCCATGTGTCCCACCGTGGCCCCATGTGCCACCTCATGGTGGCTTCCCACAATGAAGAATCTGTTCGCCAGGCAACCAAGCGGTACGTTAGAGGGATGGGAAACGGGTCCCCACAAGGAGGACCCCTCGATTCCTCTCCCTTGCCAGGGGTGGGCAGAGGGTGGTGGACATGGAATAGGGGTAGGGACGGTGAGGGACAAGTAGGTTCACAGGGATGCAGGGGAGGCTATTAAAATATTTATCCCCCTGTAGGCCCCAGCTAAACAAGGCATTGCTCCTTGTTTGCTGGGGCACAGGGAAGTCTGCGGGTTCCAGGGAAGGAGCTGGGACTCACCGGGGAACTTTCACGGGCCCAGGAGTAGTGGTTATTTATCACTGAGTTTGGAAGTACTTCAAGATTTTAGTAACTGGAACAGCCATATGAGTGTATAATGGCTGACTGTCAGCTCTGGATCCAGCCACTGTGTGGACTGATGATGTGGCCTTCTCTATAGCATGTGGGAGCTGGGCATTCCTCTGGATGGGCCTGTCTGCTTTGGACAACTTCTAGGGATGTGTGACCACGTCTCCTTGGCACTGGGTATGTGGATGGCCCATTCTCTCCATTCCCCAATACCATGCCCCAACTAGCCCTCAGCCTCATCCCCTCCTAGCCAGATCCCTTCTCCCACTCCCAACCAGCACCTGCCCAGGCTCCCCTCCTTAGCCTGCACCTGGCCCAGCCACCAGACTCTTCCTGATAGATCTGTTGCTCCCATATCTGAAGGCCTCACTTGCCTGTTCTCTAAGCCTGCTGTCTCTCGCTTTTGATGTTTTTTGATCATGGTGTCTTGTTTCCTATGTGCTTTGTTATTTTGATTGTGTCTCCCCGGGGTCTGAGACCAGAAGATTTATGTTTTTTTCTGCCAGGTGCTAAGGGGTACAGAACCACTTTACCTTATATTCAGAGCTTGAGGTTTCCAGAAGCATCTCCATGATGCAAGTTTGAGTTACAAATATGTGAGGCTAATCCATGGCCTTGATCTCTCAGAGATAGGCTTTTGTTTTCTTTGCTCTACTTATGGTCAAGGCTACTATTCCCTGTGAGCTGGGGAAGGTCAGAGTGTTGATTTCTGGTTAACTCTGACACTGAGGGTGCAGCTTAACTTGAGGAAATGCTCCTTTACAAGTCACCCTGGTCAGACTCTGGGCCTCAATTTCTGTACCCCCTCCATTCTATGAAGTCATCAAATTTTGCCTTCAGGGTGGAAGTGTTTCCTTGCGTCCTTCCCTTTTTGGGTTCTCATTTTCTCTTAATCCTTGGATTACTAAATTCCTTACTCTTTTGGCAGTATTTTAATAACTTTAGGAACATTTTCTAAATGTTTACTGCAGGACTTTAAGTTTTTTTCATTGGGAATTTTGTCCAACTCACCTAGTCTGTCACATTCTCAGAGATGAGAGCCTCTGTTCCAGGTGGGGTCTCTCCCCAAACATGAGTTCATACCCTGCCAACAATCTCCCTGCAGGGCAGGCCGGCTATGCGGTGTATAAGTCCATCCCTTATGGTTCCCTGGAGGAAGTGATCCCCTATCTGATCCGGAGGGCCCAGGAGAACCGGAGCGTGCTGCAGGGTGCCCGCAGGGAACAGAAGCTGCTCAGCCAAGAACTTCGGAAGAGAGTGCTGGGTCGGGGCCCGAGGGTACCCCATTAGCATCCCTAGGAGTCATGTGGTTAATAAAGATCCTGAGCTAGGGATGCCTGGATGGCTCAGTGGGTTACAGCCTCTGTCTTTGGCTCAGGTCATGGTCCCAGGGTCCTGGGATCGAGCCCCCATAGGGCTCTCTGCTCAGCGGGGAGCCTGCTTCCCCCACTCCCCCTCTGCCTGCTTCTCTGCCTACTTGTGATCTCTGTCTGTCAAATAAATAATTAAATCTTTAAAAAAAAAAAAAAAAGATCCTGAGCTATTGCCCTGCACTGAAGCTGCCTCCTTGGGAAAGGGCTATTCTCGACCTCAGTCAGTCCAAGCTAGCAGCTCTGTAGCTCAAGAGAGACCAGTAGCTGATCACAGAGCATAGCAAGGACATTGATCAAAAACTAACATGCCTCCCTCCAACCCTGAGGTGGCCTATCCTGCACTGGGCCTGGGATCAGCTTTACTCAGCCAGTCAATGACTCAAGGGGGAACTTTCTTAACTCCAGTGGATGCCCAGATGATGAGCAGACACTGAGACACTGAAGCCAAGAGGCTGGGAGGGACAGAGGGAAGAGGCAAATCACTTTTTTTATTTAATAAGCATTTACTGAGGCTCCTCCTGAGCTATGGTCTGAGGTGAACAATGCTGGGGACACAGCAGTGACAAAGACAACTGCAGGTCCTGACTCACAGGCCTTGGTCCAGTAGAGGTAGAGAGACCTATCTTCAGTGACAGCCTGGGGGATCAGGGGAGACTCCTGGTGATTAAGAGGGCTTCTCAGAGAATTCATAAGAATAACCAAGGGAATACTGAGAAGAGCATTCAAAGGCAAGTGTGTGCATAGACAGAAGAGTGTGAAACAGACTGGGGAGTGGGAACACAGGGATGGAAGGGTAAGCAGGCCAGATGATGCCATCTTTGTTGCCAGGCTTCATGGACTGGACTTTGTCCCAAGGGCCTTGGGGAGTCAGGAGGGTTTCAAGCAAGGGAGGGACAAAGTCAGGTTTGGCTTTAGTAAATGTCCCCTGGCTACCTCGCAGTGAGTGTACCAGAGCGGGGAGACAGGCTGGGAGCCCAAGGGAAGCTAGAGTAAGGAATCGCCGCAGGCCGCTGGAGCATGGCAGGACGATAAAAACGGAGGAGGGGGCTGGTGAGGACAGTCTGGAAGCTGAGTGGATGGGCCACCCGGCTGAGAGGCTGGACGGGAGGGAGACAGTGAAGGGCGAGGCCCTGGGCCCTCGCTTGAAGAGGGTGGGCTCTGAGATGGTGATCGGGGAGGAAATGCAGTTTTGGGAAGATACAACAAGTGTGGGACCCAGTGGATGGTACGGTATCAGAGGATTTCCAGGGAGCGGTGTCCAGGACACGTGGGGCCCGTGGTGGTGGTGAGAAGCATGGAAAGAAGACAGCCAAGGACAGGGATTAGGAAGGGCCCACCCCCTCAAACAAGTCCTGGGGCAGGCGGAAGAAGCGGGTAACATGTGCGGCAAAGCCGATAGCTCTGGGGTGGATATCGCTTTCTCTTCTTTCGCATCACGTCAGGACTGTGGGGGCGTCACTCAGAGGAGGGGGATACTGCGCAAGCGCAAGACACAGAAGCGCATGCGCCCCTGGTTCCCGCTCCGACGCCAGCGCCCGTGAGCCTGGGTCACGTGGCAGTCACGTGGTAAGCACTGCAGGAGCGCAACGGTAGGTGCAAAGAGCGGTGGGCTGGAGCCTAGACTCCAGAATCTTCCTAGAGCTTACTGGGCCCTCAGACTAGACCCCGCTGCCAGACCTCCGCCTTCCCTCATACTTCTCCCTCCTTCCCACGCCTGGTGGCCCGCAGAACCTACTGGTTATCAGACTCCGGCTCCCAGCCCACAGACACAGCCCTCAGGTCCCCTTCCTCAGCCCCCTCCCATAGCCCACAGACCCCGCCCCAGCACCCAGAGGCTTTTCTCAACCTCAGTCCGAGTCCGCAACCCTCAGACCCTCTCCCAGCCCACAGAGCCTGCCTCAGCGCCTTTGCCCCTGCCCTGACTGCCCTCCTTTCCACCCCCTCGCATAGCTTGGAGACCCTACCCCTTCTCAGGCCAAGCCCTCAGGCCCCTCTTTACCAGAGCCTTTTCCTAAACCACTAGTGTCCTTTCCAGAGCTCAGGTCCTGTCCCTGGAGCCCTTACACCCCCTTCCCCCAGAGAGAATGCCCAGCCCCCCAGACTCCCTTAGACCCCAGACCTCCCGGTCTGGTCGTTAGCTCTCCCTGTCCGACCACTTTTCCCATTCAAACACCTAACAGCAGAGCAGACTCCTCCTGAGTCTCCCCTCTTTCTCACGCGGCCCTCCAGGACTCCCAGCCGGTTCTGTATTTATTGCCCCCAAGAGGTCCTATGTTTACTTCCTCCTCCCTCATAAGAAACCCCTAGGTGATCCCTGCCCAGGAGCTGAGCGAGGAGGCCAGAGCCCACAGATGCCCTCCCTGCGCTCTCGCTTCCCCATGGAGCTGGGTTCTGTTAGGGATCCAGAAGCCCAGCTGGGACGACTGCATCGCCTGGCCGTGGCTGGGGGCCCAGGATGGGGCCTCACGCGGCTCCTGCGAAGAGGTGAGCATTCTTTTAGCTCCTGCACCTACCTGTGGGGTGCAGCTCAAGAGGCTGTGTGGAAGGCGGGCCTTCAGAGGGCCAGTCACCAGCTGTGTACCAGGCACCTACCGTGTGCCAGCCTCTGATGTCCATGATGGGGATTTAGGGACGACCTTCTGGGTCATTGTGAATGAAATCTATCATGAGAATTTAAGAAAATGGTGAGGAAGAAGTAGATACACCAAAAAGGGTGGCTTTATGAGAGCCAGTCATGCAACCCCCTACCCCCCACCCCAGGGTGAAATAGCCACTGCAAAGGCCTTGAAGTCAAAACAAATTGTTAAGTAGCAGTGGAGGAGAGGGGGATGAGTCCCCCTGGGGTGGAAGAGGGAGAGGGCGGAAGCTAAGTGGCACCAGCCACAGACAGGAAAGGGCCTCTGAAGTAGTGGGTGAATTCTGTTACATTTTGTTCTGTGTGTGATGAGAAGCCATTGGAGTTGTAGGGAGGAAATGAACATCTAATTTACAATTGATTTTTGTAACTCGATTGTGTTTCTGGCCACTTTCTGAACTTTATAGTTGAAATTTTTGACTCTTTAACAGTTTTTGTTACCCACAGATGGTTGACAGTTTGGTATCAGCCCTTTAAACTCTAATTCTTTTTTTTTACCCTGTGTAAGTTGTTGGCCAGAACCCCCAAACCTTATTGTCAATAGATATCTCTTTCCTTGTTTTTGATATTAAAGAGAATTAATCTCTATTTCTACATTAAGTATTGTGGGTGCTTTGGAGTTTTGGTATATAATTTTTATAAAGTGAGGATGTTCCCATTTATTCTTAGTTTTTTGAGGTATTTGCCTCCCCTCAGTCATAAGTAAGTATTGAATTTTATTTTTATTTAATTTAGTGACTCATATTTACATATATCACCCAGTGTTCATCATAACAAGTGTGCTCCTTAATACCCATCACCTATTTAGCTCACCTCCCCCCCACTTCCCTCCATCAACCCTCAGTTTGTTCTCTGTCATTAAGAGTCTCTTATGGAAGATAAACCATAAGTGACTCTTAATCTCACAAAACAAACTGAGGGTTGCTGGGGGGAGGGGGGTTGGGAGAGGGGGGGTGGGGTTATTATGGACATTGGGGAGGGTATGTGCTATGGTGAGTGCTGTGAAGTGTGTAAACCTGGTGATTCACAGACCTGTACCCCTGGGGAAAAAAATATATGTTTATAAAAAATAAAATTTAAAAAAAAGAGTCTCTTATGGAAATTTTGAATTTTATCAGTTGCTTTTTCTGTATCTACTGAGTCAAGTGTGATTTTTTTGTTAATTCATGAATGTGTTTTCTATATTGATTGATTTTCTTACGTTGAATCATCCTTGATTTCTGGGAATAAATCAATTGGATAATCCCTTTTACTTTATTTAGGGGGTTAGCATATATGATCATAAATGGAATTGAAATACGATTTTATTTTTGGTTCTGGAAACTTATGTGGCTTTGGAATTAAGGTCATTCTAGCTTCATAAAAGGAGCCTTGCTCTCCCTCTCTCTTTCTTTCTCTCTCTTTTTTGGAACAACGTGTATAAGATTATACATGAAATGATTACCATTGTAATGATTATATCATGCAATGATTTGTGTTTTAAGAAGACCCTTCTGCAGGGCAATACAAATGCAGAAAATCAGTTAGAATGCCTTTGCAAAAGACAGTGGGCTACTGGCTAAAATAGAAGGCAGTAAATGTGACATTCAGATGTTCTTGAAGGACCACCTTTGGAGGAATTTTGTGACAGTAACTAAGCTGGCTTGAGCCAAGTGCTTGATTGATTTTAGCCATATCTGCCTAGGACATAGGACTGCAATGACAAAGACACTGTGCATTTGCCCTCAGTAGGGAGAGGGGCAAGGGCTTCAAGGAAGAAGAGTTCAGGATAATGGGTGTGGAGAGGAGGGGTGAGAAGGAGGCTCTGAGCAGGATGGTGGGGGAGGGGGTTGGCGTAAGTGAGTGCAGAGGAGGTTGCTTCTTGGATCCAGCTCTTAGAAGCAGAACTCAAAAATAAACTTGAGAGATTTCCTGAGAAAATCCAAGAGTTTGCTTTTCTTTTTCTTTTTTAAGATTTTATTTATTTATTTATCTGATAGAGACAGAGCTAGAGAGGGATCACAAGCAGGGGGAGTGGGAGAGGGAGAAGCAGGCTTCCCACTGAGCAGGGAGCCTGAGGTGGGGCTTAATCCCAGAACCCAGGGATCAGGACCTGAGCTGAAGGCAGACACCTAATGACTGAGCCACCCAGGCACCCCAAGAGTTTGCTTTTCTTGAAGAATTGGATGCTGGCCACATGGGACCTGTGTACATACACTGCAGTAGAGCTGGGTGGAGGCTGCCTGCCCTGGATGGTGCACGAGGCTCCTGTCAGCAGAGGTTCTGAGAAGTCCACGTCCCCCTGGCCCCTGGGGACCTTTGTGTGATTTTTGACACTTCTGGGGTGGCAGATGGGTGTCAGCATAGCAGGTGGTTTTCACCCCTTGTTGTGACTCTGTGGGCTCATTAACAGTGAGCACCTTGTTGAGACAGATCCTGAGCAGAGTCCCCTTTGGTTGGAGGGTGGGGCTTCCAGGGTATAGAGAGAGAACCTGGAGTCAAGGCTCACCCAGTCAAGGAGGGACTGCAGGGACTGGGAATTGGCAGAGGTGTTGCATAGCGGCCCCCAGGACCTCTGCCTCTGGAATAAAGGGCAGGGACAGCCCTAAGCCTTGTTGCCCCTCAGTTGTCCAGGTGGATGGTGAGAACTCCGCTGGGCAGACGGGGCTCTTCCTCTCGGCGCTGCTGGGCCACAGCTCTGCTGTGCAGCTCTTGCTGACCTTTGGCGCCAACCCCAACCAGTGAGTGGACCGATGGCGGTGCCCCCACCGCTCCACGGAGTCTGAGCCCCAGAGAGACTGAGAGGCTTTCCTCCCCAGAGACCACTCCCTCATGACACCCTTCCATCCTGATGACCCTTCTGGCCCCAGTGATCTCCCCCTTGTTCTCTGGATTAACCCCCTCTTGTCCACCAGGGACTACTCCCATTCTCCTGCTACCTGCCATGCTCACAGTAAAGACTTCACCCTGTCCCCAAGTGACCCTCCTGTCCCGAAATCCACCTCCCATGTTCACTGCGACTCCTCTCGTCCCTCAGTGCTCCCATCCTGCCACCTCTTGTCCCTTTTCTGCCTCTTTCCTAATGCATTTCTGTCCTTGTTGTTCCACTGCAGCCGCTGCCTTGATGGCAGCACACCTGTGCACGCAGGCGCCTTCTCGGGCCGCAGCCTGGTGATGCTGCACCTGCTGCAGGCAGGGGGTGACCTGCGTCTGCATGACCAGCGGGGTCGCACGCCTTGGGACTGGGCCGAGCAGGGTGGTGCCAAGCAGAGCTGGGAGGTGAGCAGTGGCCCAGGTGGGGTGGGGGCGTATAGAGCTGGTACCCCCATCTGCTTCACCACACACGTCTCCCGTCCAGGTGCTGGAGCTATTAGAGCTGTGCCGAGCCCACATGTCGGCACTAGTGCATGACGCTGAGTTGGCGGCCAGTGCATCCCTGGGCCAGTTGCAGGCCGGCTGTAGACACAGCCTGTGTGGCTCCCTGCCCTTGCCGCGGCGGGAGTGTGCGGACAGGTAACTACCCATATCCTAAAGCCCACTCACCCCTGCCCCCAGCTGCCCTAGACTTACCCCTGGACTTTCCTTTGCCCCAGAGCACCGAGACGAGAGCGCATCAGAAGACCCCCCCGAATTCCAGCCTTGGGGTTTGGCCAGGTAAGCGGGAGAGGTTGGGGGAGCAGGGAACATCCCTGTCTGCTTTGTGCCTCATAATCCCACTCCCCATTCCCAGCTGAGCTGTCTGAGGCCACTGGGGCTGGTGACAGGCATACCCCTTGCGGACCCCAAGGAGCTGCTGCCAGCCCAGGGCGAGCCCGACCGCACCTACGAGAGCAGCTCCCACACCCTCATGGCCAAGTGAGAGCCCCTCTCACACCCCCTGCGTGGCTGTCAGTAGAGTCTGGGAGGGGTCTGGTTCTCCTCCTTCCCTCGTGGGAAGACCCCCATTTCAGATCTGTGCTCTTTCCCCCTCCGGCATTGTCTAGCCTCCTGTGGAGGGGCCACTCCGTGACAGCTCGGAAGCTGAAGGCACCTGGAGCTCAGCCGGATGTGCTGTTGGCTGACCTTCAGCACTGCAGGTACACCACCCCCAGCCTTACCCTGAGGATGGCCCAGTCCCCCAGACCCGTCTCCGGTCTGCCCTCCGGACTCAGGTGTCTCATAAACAGGGGGCCAGGGAGTGTGGCAGTGGCCACGGTTATGGTTCTTCACTTCTGGGCCAGCACCTGGCACGGAGCCCTCCTACTGGAGTGACTACCCCCCACCCTCCTGCTGTAAAGTGTGTCCTAGGGCCGTATGCTGTGTATTCTAGGCCACAGAGAAGTGGCTGGGTGTAGGCAGAGGTACCCCAGATGGGGTATGAACTGGGAGCTGGCCCTGCGAGCCGGGTCTCAGTTTCTCCTCTGTCCCGTGGCTGATGCGGATCAGATGGTCAACCCCTGGCATGTGCTGATCTGTGCCGAGCAGCAGCCCCCACCACGCAGGTCAGGGCCCCCTTGTGAGTGGCCTGCTCTCCTCCCGCCCAGCACCCTGCACCACCCTAACCTGTTGCTGCTGATGGCACTGAGCCCCTCGGCCGACCTGTCGGGGCTGTGCCTCCTCTTCGAACCGGTGTGGCTGGGCTCCCTGCATGTGGTGCTGCACCCACGTGGGCCGAGTCCAGGAGGACCCCGCGCTGTGCCGGGGCTGCTGCCTGGCCACCTGCTGCTGCAGGTGCTGGAGGCGCTGCTGTTCCTGCAGGCCCGCTGGCACGCCCACGGTGGCCTTAGCTCTCACGCCGTGCAGCTGGTCCGGCCAGGCCTGGCCAAAGTGAGCAGCCTGGAGCACGGGCGGCCCTTGCACCAACGCTGGCTGCAGCCCAGGTGAGCGCCTACTTCCCCCGCCTGCCCCGTATCCCTGTCCCATGGCCGCTGGCTCACCAGGCCCCTCGGCCTCCACAGGCCACAGCAGGGCTACTCCCGGGGAGGCTCAGGCCCAGGGCTGCCCCCGCCTCCTGAATTGTACCCTTGGCTGCCACTTGAGCTCATCTGCGGTGACACGCCCGCTGCCACCTCAGATCTCTACAGCTTCTGCATCCTGGCCCAGGAGGTGTTCACCGGTCAGTGAGTGATCCTACACCCCGGCCCCGCTGAGGTCGTCCTCTGGATCGGGTCCCCCAATCATGCTTCCTCACAGGACAGCTGCCCTGGGCTGGGAGGAAGGGGCCTGAGGTGAAGGCTAAATTGGAGGCAGGAGAGAGCCCGGCCCTGGATCCCCTGGTGCCAGCCCCCTACCAGGCCCTGGTTCAGGCTGGGCTGGGCCTGGGGCCAGCCGACCGCTGGGGCAGCCTGCAGAACACTCGCTACCTGCTGCAGGAGGCCATGGCCCAGGTACGGGATACGCTGGCCGGCCGGGGAGTGGCTGTGGAACCGTAGGCAGGACCCACATCACACACTCAGCCGCCTTTCCCCAGGACTCGGCTCCTGAGGTGAGCTCCCGGATGCACTGGACCACACGGTGCCCTGCGTCTCAGGATTTCCTACCAGGTTAGAGGGCACGAGCGGGTGGTGGCTGGTGCTGAGCTCAGCTCTGCTCCCCCCATTCCAACCAACTGGTCTGTCCCTCCAGACACACTGTACTGTGAGGTGGCTCCCAGAACCAAGATTCCACCCAGGCCTGTGCCCCCTGTGATGTCCCTAGGCCTCTCCCCATGCCAGGTAGGAGCCAGGGCAGAGATGTGGAGGACCAGGGGAGCTGTGGGACACTGGGCAACCCATGACAGCTCCTGCCATTGTCTCCACAGGCCCTGAAGACTCCTGAGGTCACAGGCCGTGGCAGAGTCCAGAGGGCCCCAGCCTGGGACTCAGGCAGCAGCTTGACTCTAGGCAGCAGCCCAAGTCCCGGCTCCAGCCTCTACCCAGGCTCCAGCCCTGCAGCCCGGGTCAGCCTGCACCACTGCCTGGAGCCCAGCTCGACGGTGTAGATCCCCCCAGGGCCCTGTGCAGCCACTCAGTTTGTTAAACTATGAGCCCTCACCCCAGTTGTCACCAGCCTGTTTCCCCAGCTGCCTCGCCTTTGACCAGGGACCCCTCAACTGACCTGTGCCCCCTGACCAACCCGACTTCCCCCAGGGCCCGCCCTACACTCCCAGCCTGCAGGACTTAGCCTCCCTGCTGGGGACCAGGGTTCTGTGGAGCAGTTTGAGAGGAACTCAGCCAAGATGCCAGCCCTGCTGGACCTTCCGGCCTTAAAACCCACCCCCTGCCTGCTGACCCACAGAGAGGCCTCCCACCCCCCTGGAGGCTGCTGGCAGGGGAAGGTCCTGAGGGTGGGTGAGACAGAGGAACGGGAGCCTATCCTCTGCCCTCCTCCCCCTTCCAGGCCCATCCTGAGCTCAACGGCTACTGGGTGGCAGCTCCAGCATTTTTCCTCTGCAGGAGCCCAGTACCGAGCTGATCAGAGGATGTCTCTTCTCCAGCCTGCAGAAGTGAGAAATGGGCCCTGCTGGGGGCCACCTGGGGCCCCTTCCTCATCCCTGTGGTGACCCTGGCTCCACCCCCATCCCACTACTACCCAGGATGGACCTGCTGGAGGAGATCATAGTGGAGCTGCGGGGTGGATGCCCACTCGGAGACAAGCCCAGCCTCGACCCCACTCCTGAAACCGATTCTTAGAGTGCCTGTGACTGCCTTTCTGCAGACACCACCCCTCAGAGCCTCCCAGGACGGACTTCCCATGCAGCACTTGCTGAAATGATAACGTGATAAAGCAATCCATCTGTCTCTGCCTCTTTGTTCCCTGAGTCTGGCCCCAGCATGACACTACCGGCCGTGTTTTCACTGTTTTTCCGTGTTTTCACTGTTTTTATTCATTAATTTTGTCAGATGGTTTAGTGGGGAGTGTCGGGGGAGATGGGCAGGAGCTGTTCCCCAACCCCCTGTGCACAGGTCAGGACAAGCTGGGGGCTCCTGGAGGGAGAGGGAAGACAGGGTGTCAGCCTAGCCCTCAGATTTGTGCGGGAGCCCCCAGGAGGGGAGGTTGGTGGGGGGATAGGTGTGCCCTTCAGCCCGGAGTAGGGAAGCTATAACAGGTTAGGGACCCACATCAGAAACATGTTACAAAGTTAGAAACCTGGGGTATGGGTCAGGAGCTCAAGAAAATACAAAACGAGGGATTGGATTGGGTCAGTATCAGTGAGGGGAAAGGGAGAGGAGGAAGGTCCCTCCCAGCTGCGGCTCAGCAATAGCTTCGGGTCTGACCCTCAGAGTGGCGGGACCAGCTGGGAGTGGGGTAGGGGGGTGGGGGACCAGCCCCCTCCCTTCCTTGCCCCCCATTCCTATACAAGGACCCTCGATGGTGCTCGCCCCCCCTCCCATAGGCTGGTGGGGCTGCCCTGTACAGCAGGAGAGGCTCTGGAGGGCCCCACGGCGCAGGTACCCTGTGAGGGGTGTGGGGGCCCCAGGGGGTCCTCTGTTTCTGGGGTAAGCGGGGGGCTGGGGGTCCAGGATCTGAACGGCTCCGGGGGTGTGCAGGAGGGGAGGAGGAGCTGGAAGAGGCAGGTGAGGGACCCCTGGGCCCCAGAGCTAGATTAACATACAGAGGCTCAGGCCGAGTAGGGCGCCTGGTGGGATGCTGGGGGGCTGAGTAGCCAAGGTGGTCATGGGGAAAGCAGGAAGGGGGTGGTGGGTAGCTGAGCAGGAAGTCCGGGGACCTGTGAAGTGGTGGCGATTGGCCAAGCAGGCCATATGAGGCATTGAGCCTATCTGGGGGCATAGAGCGAAAGGGACTCCAGGACCTAGTGGGGCCAGAGTAGGGGGTTCCCTCACCCGTCTCGATTTCGTAGTATAGGTTCTCTCCCCTGTCAAGTGGTGCAGGGGGACCTAAGGGGCTCCTCCAGACCGGGGCTGGGGAGCTGGGCTGGAAGGATGGGGAACCCAGGGGGTACAAGCCTGGTTTGGGGACCCCAAGGAAGGGCGGCAGGCACTCCCGAGGGGCTGAAGAGAAGAAGCCAGGAGCAGGAACCTGTGGGAGGACAGAATACAGGAACAGAGCTGCCATCTGTGGCTCATCCCCATACCCCCTGCACCCTCCACCTCTCCTGAGCTGAGCACTGACCTGGGCAGGGCCTCTGAGTCCCCTCCTTGAGGTCCCGGGGGGCCGCTGGTTCCTCACCAGGCTCCCGTCACTTTGTTGCCTTGGTAGGGAGGGTGGGGGTCCAGGAACCCAGGCACCTGAATGGGCTAGGGAGTTGGGAGCTGGCCCAACCCCCAAGGTCCCTGGGGGCTCACCGCCCACCTCCAGCGACAGTGAGCGGTGGAAAGGGGAGTGGGGAGCAGAAGGGGTGCTCCCATGCTCCTGTTGGCTCTGTCTCTGGGCCACCTGCTGAGCCCGCTCAGCTAGGGCCAGGGCCATGAGGCGTGCTGGGTTCTTGGGGGGTGGGGGTGGGGCCCCCCCAGGGCGCAGGAGGGACAGGGGTGGGGGCAGCAGCGGTGAATCCATACCAGGACCTACACAGAGAGGAATGGGAAGAGAAGTCAGCCGGGCTTGGGTGCACCTTCAGGGTTCCTAAGGGCATGGGGTGGGCCGAGCAAGACTCACCATGTTGGCCTGGGGCTCCCCGGGGAACAGGCAGGGCCAGCTTGCTGCAGATCTCCTGTTGGCAGGTGTCACTCAGCTGGGCCTCCGCTCCGCGCAGCAGCAAGGGGATGAGATGGGGCCGCAGGCCGGGGCTGGGGCTGAGAGCCGGCGTTGGGGTGACTGAGGCAGGCGTTCCCCCGGCCCCCAGCAGCTCCAGGACAGCAGGTGGCACGGATACAGCCAGGGGTTCTGAGATGTCCAGGGCGGTGGGCGAGGCAGGGCTGGCGGCCCCACGGGGTGAGAGGGCCTGGGGTGTCACCTTAGGTGGGAAGGCGGAGGCAGGGGCTGGGGGTGCTGGGCTGGCGGGAGGTGCCGGGTCGCCTGGCGTGGGGCTGCTGCAGCGAAAGGTAAGGGGATCGAAGTCGAGCCCCCGGAGCCCCTCCAGGCAGCGGGGTGGGCTAAAGTCCAGCTCGTCACCATCATCTAGCCAGGCTGAGGTTCGGTGTGAGGGTGAACCAGAGAGTGCCCCCAGCCCAGCTGCTGAGGATCCGGAGGACGAGGACTCCGAAGAGGAGGAGGATTCAGAGGAGGAGGAGGAGGAGGACAGGCTCTCGCAGGAGCCAGCAGGTGCCGGGCCCACAGGGAAAGCGTCACTGCTGGAGTGGGGTCGCCGGAGCCTGTGCAGCCTCTGGAGGCCTGGAAGGGGGGCAGTTAGGTGTCAGGGGTCAGAACTTCATAGGCATATGGCAGTAAGGATAGGGTACATCACCCAATGGGCTAGGCTGGGGAAGTTACACGAAGAGGCATTCCCCTGGGTAGGGTCTCAGTGGCTGCAAATCCAGGCGCTGTTCAGACTCAAAGTGAGAAAGGAAAGAGATGGCCAGGCCATGATAAGAATCGTTCTACACCCGAAGGCCAGTCCAACATCTGACAACCACAAGGCTGGTGAGCAGGAGACCAGCGGGACCTCCTGAGCTCTCACTATCACTATCAGGAGTGCAGACGTGACTGGTTTTTTTTTGGAAAGCAATTGGGCCTTGTCATGTAAAGTTGAACATGAGCAAGGCCCACAGCACGCCCCTCCCCTCGCTCCTGGGTGCCTGGAACACTCTCCAGAGTGTGGGCGCGCAGGGAGTGCTCCCCACAGCCCCCAAGCCCTCAGGAGGATAGACAAGTGACTCGGGATGGGGGAGCCGCACATGAATACCAGAGAGCAGCTAAGAGGCACAAGGCTGAGCAACACTCAGCCACGTGGTTGGCAGTGAGTGGAAAGTCAAGTTCCGCATCCAGCACCCTTTCTTCAGAGACCTTCAACGTTTACAAAACAGCTAGGACTGTGCCATATGTTACACGGAGGCCTGCAGAGGATAAAATCTTAGAGCAAGGAGATGCTGCGCATGGAATCCAGGGCTGCCTCCAGTGGGGAGGCAGCAGACGGCAGAGGGGAGGAGCTTGCAGCCAAGGGAGTGGGGCTTTTTTAGTTCTGGCCAGTGGGCTCACAGGTGGTCGCTTCATTACTTAGATTTTTTTCCAAAGGAGTGAATAAAAACCTGCAAGGGCCCTGCCTGGACCAGTGATCACAGAGCATCATGAACCAAGGGTGACACTTTTTCTAACACACTGAAACTCATTTCAGGATTAGGAACTAAAGAACATCAAAAAGGAACCCCAAACCCACAAATTTGAAGTACATTTAGAGGCCGCCCCAGGGCTGCCAGCCCTCCCAGCTCCACTGGGCCGGGCCTGAGCCACCCGGCCGGGCCTGGGCCACAGCGCTCACCAGCCCCGCTGGCCTGCGATGACAGAGACTCCTCGCTTTTGGCAGATCTCAGCGTGACTGTGTCAGGTCGGCCACCTGCGAAGAGGCGCAGGATGGGCATGGGGCACTCCGGAGTGCCTCCCTTCCACCCCAACTCCCCACCCACTGCAGCCTCTGACCTGAAGGCTGTGGGGGTGCACGGGTGCCCCCCAGCCACGGTAAAGGCTTCTTTCGGGGGATGCTAGGGCCACGGCCCAGTGCAAAGAAGGTCTTCCAGCTGCTTCCCCCTGGCTTTCGCTGTTTCTCGCCTCTCTCCCCTTTCCTCCTGGGGTTTGCGGTAGACAAAAGGAGGGAGTCTGAGGATCTGGGGCCTCCAGGCTGGCCCTGTGCTCCCCCAGCATCCCACTCACCTTTCCACAGGTGAAGCTGGGGCCTTGGGAGTGGTGGGCTCAGTGGGAGTCCCTAGCCGGCCCTGGGTCCGAGCCTGGGCTTCCTCCAGCGTCAGCAGGCGAGTGGAAGGGCCACTGCCCGCAAGGGACTTGGGCCTGGGGAGGAGGCAGCGGCCTAAGGAGTTGGGAAAGGGGGCAGCTGTCAGCTCTGGGGGCCTCTCAAGGCCACAGGCAAAGCCAAGCGCCACAGCCCAAGCCCCGGCCCCGCAGCGTGCCCACCCGGGCTGGCAAGGCAGGGGGCCAGGGCGGATCAGGCGGGAATGGGTGGGCAGCAGGCAGGTGAGGAGGAGGAGTGAGGCAGGACGAGCTGATGAGGAGGCAGCTCCCGGCAGCCAGCGGGGGCAGCGGCTCTGGCTTCAGTTACCTCGGGCCAGAGGGCCCTCCGACGTGCTGAATCCTGATTGGGCTGGGGTCCGGGGTAGGGCGGGGAGTCTGGGTGGGGCCGGGGCGGGGTCAAGTCTGGGGACCTCCCACCTCCTCCCTGGTGGCCCCAAGGCCCCAAGAGCCCCCGGGAGCTACAAGGGGTGAAGGAAGAACGATGTCCGGGCCAAGAAGTGGGGATCCTGAGCGTAGGAGCTGAAATGAGAAGGGGGGGGGGGGGGGAGGGAGAGGCCGGGGCGGGGTCCTCAAGGAGCCAGGAGGGAGGTCCAGCTTCAGTGGGGTTAGGGATAGGGCTGGGAGCCCACCTGCCCTCCCACTGCAGCCCTAACAATGAGGGGGCAGTAGCCAGGACATCAGGGGGTGGGATGGGCATACCTGCAGGGTCGAGGCCAGCAGAGGTGAAGGTGTCACTAAACAACACATCCACATGGGTGAGCAGGAATTCCACCACCACAGACTGCACCCGGACCTCCCGGAAGG